ACCTCCCCTTGGTTTTTCAAGCTGGAGTCTGAAGTCTGAATGGGTCTCCTCTCCCTGCTACAACCACTTTCCATCACACATCCGATCCATCAGCAAAACCTATCAGCTCGGCTTTCAAGGTATGTCTCTGTCTAACCACCCTCTTCATCTCCACCGACATCTCCAGGCCACGTGCTGTCTCTCCTGGACAATTGCAGCGGCCTCCTGTTATGGGTTAAAATGTTCAAAAATGTAGAATTCATAAGTCAAAGTCCACAATGGGACCTTATTTGGAAACAGGGTCATTGCAGATGTAATTAGTTACGATGAGGTCATACTGGAGTAGGATGGGCTCCAATCCAATAGGACCAGTGTCCTCACAGAAAGGAGAAATTTGGACACAGACATGCACACAGGGAGAAGGCCATGTGAAAGTCAAGGTGAAGCTCCCCTAAGCCAAGGAGTGCTGAAGATTACCAGCAAAGCACTGAAAGCTCGGGGAGAGGCAGAGGACAGATTCTCCCCACAGCCCTCAGAAGGAACCAACCCTGCCAACACCTCGATCTTAGTTTCCAGCCTCCAGAGCTGACAGTAAATTTCTGTCGTCTACGCCTCCCAGCCTGTGGTTCCTTGTTGCTGCAGCCCGAGCAAACGAATGCACCTCTGAAGAGGATTCTCTGCTCTCTCTTGCCTCTCTCCCCTCCCCACATGCACATTACACTCCATAGAAAATAGATATGTTAGGAGTCCAGCCTGGACTGTGTCGTGTTCCTGCTTTGAATTATGCAATAGCTTGCCATGCCTACAAGGCCCTGGAAGACCTGGCCCCACTGAGTTTTCCGACTTTCTCTTTCCTCTCTCCAGCCCACTATGCGCCACTCACACCAGCCTCGGTGTCAGCCTTGAACATGCAAGTCCTTGCAGCTGAGGGCCTTTGCACATGCTAAGCCCTCACCCCCCCTCCAAGTCTTTGCATGGTCACCTTCTCCAAAGAGCTAGGGAGGCATGGACACCAATGACATCACTCTGATGGAGAGGAGGACACCGATGGAGGAACGGGAGGGGCAGGGAAGGACCCTGATGGAAGGCTGGGGGGCCTGTGCCCAGCTCTGAGAGCTCATACTATCCATTACACCAGCATCATGACAGGCTGATAAGTGACATCTTAGTTACTAGGTTTCCCTAGAACTTTCTCGACCCTTTGACACTCCCCACCTCTCACCCGAGTGCTCTGCTTGTGGCTTTAGTCCCCAGGGGTGTGGCACAATCAACAAAGAACAAAGATTCTGAGATTTTATAATTCACTGTGATTTAGGTGATTGGTTGAGTGACTTGGGAAGAGGGTTTATTTTGGGAAAAGCAGAGTGTGGGGGAGGTAGCGGGAGGCTTTGCCTCAGAACTGGGGCTCTGCCAGCTCTGGGGCAGAACCCGGAGGCGGGAATAACAGTTCCCTTACAGTGGGGATGGGCAAGCAGAAGGAAGCAGTGCCTCCCTGCCTCGCCTGCCCAGGGAAAGCCCAGGCAGGCCTGCAGCGCAGCCCTTTGTCCCAAGGTGTGACCTGTGCCAGCGTCCCCTGAGCTAGCTGATTGGGGTCTCCTGTGGCCCCAGAGAGTGGCAGAGAGCCTCTAGGTGGGTGTCTAGAAACACCTCCCCACTGCCTCTGGGAGACTCAAGTTGGCTAAATGACAGAACACAGAGAGATGGTGGCCCAGAGTGGGTACTGGTGGGAGGTGTTATGAATCGCAAGCTATGAAGAGCTGGCGAGGAGAGGCCTTCAGAGGCCAAGCTGAGGGGCTCACGTCTGAGAGCCACATCAAAAGGCTGGAAGGATGGGTCAGCGGCCCCAGGCTGAGCCATCCCTGCCTCTTGCTTTGGCCCAGTAAAAGCCTGGGAATTTCATTGCTGTCAGCATCTGCCTGGATGTGACAAAGCTTTATTGCATCAGTAGAATGAGGGCTCTGGATAGAAATTAAGGTTCATCGCAGAAAAATAAAGAAGTTACATTTATTTGCAAGAGTCTATAGGCTGTAAAACTTATACCTGCTTTATTGTTCCCCTCACACTATGGGTGGGTTCCTGATGGAATGTAGTTATCTGTGCATGCGCCCCCCCCCCCACATACTCACACACACACACTCACACACACACTCAGTAGTTTTTCTCTGACCCTATGTTATAGGCAGAAAATAGCTCTCCAAATATGTCTGTGTCCTAATTTCCAGAACCTGTGATATGTTACAAGATGGGAGAATTAAGGTTCATCTGACAATGGGCAGCTCCCAAATTCCAGTCCCCACGGAGCAGGGCCGAGCACGATGTCACTTCCTGGGCCTCCTTAGTCTTCTCTGAGGCAGGGCCAGTTGCCCTCGACCCCTGGGCCAGAGTGGGAGTGCTCCTGCCTGTAATGGCTCAGATGTGGGCTGGACAGGAAAGGGGGCGGGCAGGGGCCCCCTGAAGGTAGCAGAGTGTGTCACACCTCGTAAAACCGAGGAACCGGAGTGCAGAGAGGGACTGCCCTGGGCCCTTTCATCTCCCTCAATAAAGTGTTATCAGCACTGAGCTGGGTTTTCAGCTCTTAATTCCAGATGTGGCCCGAGGCCCATCCCCAGCAGGGCCCCTTTTCCCTTGCCCTCTTCCCACGCAGACCACTCAGGGCTGCTCAGGGCGATGCTGGGCCGGATGAAGAGAGCAACTGTATCCTGGGGTCGCAGGAGCCAGGCCAGCACAGGCTGGTGGAATGTCCTGGATGCAGAGATTCCTGCCTCGAGGGGCAGAGGAGGAGCTGCTGATGCCTCCAGAGTCTGCCAGTCCTGCTGAGATGTGGAAGCAGGCACCCCCTAGATTGGATTCTGGGAGGCCTGGACCCCGGGCTGTCCTTGTTCTGAACAGGGACCTTGGGAAAGTCAATTTCCTTTTCCGGCCTCAGTAGTCTTGGTAAAATGAAACTTGCTCCAGTTCCTTTTGTTGCAGAGTCAGTGCCCCTGTGCTAAGCCCACGTGCATGCTGATTTCTGTTTAGCCCTGGGAGATGCAAGGTGGACGGAGGGCAGGGCTCTCTACTCTGGTAAAGTACCCATTCTGGTGGGAAGCAGCAGTAAATCCCAAAGAAACACATAAAGGAGCAACATACCCAGACTGTGAGAAATGCTGTGCCAGGAAGGAGGTCGGATGGTATGCTGGAGGGCACCTGGAGGAGGGCAGTCAGGATGCCGTCTTGAAGAGGGATGGAGCCAGGCGGGAAGATGCAGAGGAAGAGCATCCCGGGCAGGAGACACAGTGCAAAGTCTCCAAGTGGGAACAATCTTGGAGCATCAAGAAAACAGAAAAGCCGCCGCTGCTGGCATGGAGCGAGAGGGAGAGGAGCAGCAGATGAGGACAGTCCAATAGCCAGGGGTCATATTTCCTAATGCTAACTAGGACCTGGTCAAGTCCATGGCAAAGAAATCTAGAGGATTGCAGCTTAGGGCTTCACAGTTCATGTCCCCAGCTCTTCCATGTTGCCACTCTACATTCTCAACATGTGACTCACTCCCTCATGGTCCAAAAGGGCTGCTTGAGCACCAGACATCAAGTTCACTTTCCAGTTATCCAGAAAGAGGGAGAAAAACAACAGAGGGGAGCCTTTTTCCTGTCTGGGCACTGGCCAGTATTAGAACACAGCATTTCTGCTCACATCTTGTTAGCAGGAATGCTGGGAAGTGTGCTCTTTATTTCAGGGGGTTACATGCCCCACTAAGAATCGGGCTTATATTACTCAGGAAGAGGAGAGTAGGTATTGAGGTGGACAAGTGACACGTCTGTCACCTGCTTACAATGTAGGGAATTCCCATCCAGAGCCCCCCTGCTGTTTCCAAAATTCAAACTTACAGTGATAAATGAATCATTCACCTCCATATACCTCGTCTTCCCCATCTCAGGAACTGGCACCACATCCAGCCAGTTGCCCAAGACAGAAATGTGATGACTCTTCCCCCATCCTCTGCAAAGACCCACATCGAACATAACACCAGGTTATATCCTGCCCATATAACCCCCAAATACATCCTGAATCCATCTTCTTCTCTCCAGCACCCAGTCACCACCTTAATCAAAGGTCTATCTTTTCCCATGTCTACTGCAGTAGCCTCTAAATGGTCTTCCTGCTTCCCCACCATCAATTTTCCACAGAGCATCCATCATCCTCGGTCTAAAAGTCACTGGCTCTGTCTAAAGTCCTTCAGGGGCTTTCAGGATAAAAATAATAAAGTCCCAAACCCCTGACATGGCCCTGTGATGACCAGGGTCTCTTACCTTCTCTCTCTCACTCTCTCCTGCCACACTGGACTTCTTTCAAAGTCATCAAACACTCCAAGTTCCTTCCTGTCACAGGGCCTTTACACATGCAATTTCCTTGGCCAGAAGTGCTTCCCTGCCTCCTTTCTCATATGATTAAATCCTATTTAAGGGGGCCTTCCTACCACCCTACCCTAGATGACATTATTTGCTCCCATCCACCTGTATGTCTCACACATAACGTTTATCACAATTAATCAATTGTTTCATGTCTGATCTCCTGCCAGAACGTCCCACTCCTGGGGGGCAGGGAATGTACCACATTTAGAGTGGGGAGGGGGGATTCCAATAAACATTCGTTTGATGAGTACATTAAGCTTCTCTGTTAATCCCTGAGCCCAGCCCTGCACCAGCTGATGCTGCTCAACCCTGAAAGGGACACGCAAACATCTGGGAGTGGAGAAACTACGTGTTAATGGTGGGGCTCCATTTGTATGGGCTACTCACTGTGTAATAAACCTCATGTCTCCTTAAAGGGGCCTTAATAGTTTCATGAAGTGCGGGGCCAGCAACAGGATTAAACCTCACTTGAGACCTCCAACAGACAGAATTTCAGAAACCAAGAGAGTGAGGGGCGATCAAGAGCCTGGGAGGGGAAGCAGGGGTCTCAGCAGGGCTTGTAGGAGGCCAGGGGGCGGTCTATAATGAACTCCCAGAGGCAGGCAGAGCCAGAAGGCTGACCTGCAAACAAGGTGTCTTTTTAGGCCTCCTTTAAGGAGCAAGTCTCTTGAGCTCTAAGAGTAT